CTTTCTATACCTCTATTCCAAAGATACTTACTCTCACAATCACACAACAATAATTTTATAAATACCAATTAATCAGGTAAGGGTGGGAAATTGTTTCAATAATGAGGGTATATGCATGAAGGATAGGGTAAAAGAGTCCTTAAACTCCAATAAGGCATTTGAGATTTTTCTAAATTTTAAATTTTTATGATATCTTGATTTTATATGTTGTGATTATTGATGATTTTCGTGCACTATGTGTGGCTATATTTTCTATTTTGAGTGTTTGGATAATTTCACCATTGTTGAGAGTTTCGAAGGTTTATGGAATTAATAAAGTTATGTATTATATGATTTAACTGATTCCAATATGTGATAAATCATAAATTTGATATTTTAATCCTTGGATAAGTGTTGGGTTTCAAATTTTGATCAGATCGGGACTTTTTACGGAATTGAAATCGGAGGTCCGAAAGACCTCCAAAGGCGAAAAATAAGTTTCTAGGTTGTTCTTCAAACCTGTAACCGGTTACTGAACTGAGTGTAACCGGTTACCACTTTAAAAAATAGGTTTTTGGGCTACTTTCAAACTTGTAATCGGTTACGGGTTTGAGCGTAACCGGTTACCACTGTTACGTAAAAGTTTAGAAAATGAAAATGACGTAGCTTGAGCTTTGTAACTCCGTTTGATGTGCGGTTCGAAGCGTTGGAAAGTTAACACATAGTAATATCTCACGGTGATGCCTTAATAGGCTTAATATCATGTATTTAACATTTAATTAATTGGTAAGCATTAATTTTTGTAGATGCCTTAGTTGTTATATGGAAGTTGTTTATGTGAAAATTGCAATTGTCGATTTTCCATGTTTTATTTGTTGTTGGCTATTATTAGTTGATGTATGATGTTTTTTGATGTCAGTTCCTGATTTATCATGATTTTAATCGGTATGATGTAGTAATTGATGGATGATGAGTATATGCCAATGATAAATGATTTATTAAACATGAATAATTGTTGTGATACAATAATGTTGTTATGTCGATATTGTTATAATGATGTTATTAAGATAATTTTGTTGATGTTGTTGTGTTGGTGTTGTTATGATGATGATATGAACATAACGAAATTATGTTAATGATGTGGTGTCGATGTTGGCATACACGGCCAAGAGTTGACCGATGTGTATGCGTTGATTATGTTGGTGTTGTTGCATGTTGTGAGTCATGCATCTATGTTGTCGAAACTTGGATTCTACTTAGTTTGTTGGCTTGATTCTATGGTGGTGGTTCGGGTGTGAGTAGTTAATTCCTATGGTGGTGGAATTAGTTATCTATGGTGGCGGTAACGATTTTTGTTGTACTCCGGTTCAAGAGTGAACCAAATCCTATGGTGGTGGATCTTGATCCTATCATGGTGGATCAAAGAGTTAAATGAACCATGAGAGTTCACGTTTTTCTACCACATGCATTTTCGAGTTGGTTGTTGAATACATTGCATCATTGTTGCATTTGTATGTTTTGTTGTTGATGATCTTGGTGAATATTGTTGATGATCGATTTTGGGTGTGAGAATTACAATGTGTTATTGTGAATGATTATGTTGAGTGCAATCTATCTTTCATGTTATGCCTCTTATAATTGATTGTGATTTCTCACCCTTTCTGTTTGAATGTTTCCTTTACATGGGCATCGTGCAGATACTTAGGAGTAGCTTTGACTGAAGTAACTGAAAGGATAGCTCTTGAAGTGACTTCCATTAGTTGTTGTTTATTTAGTAGGGTCTGCTCTGATCATGTAACATCGGGATGGGAACCGTTCATGTTTATTTCACCTGTTATTATTTGTTGGAGTTTTGGTTTTAGGTTGTTGGGAGCTGAAAAATATAACTATCTTGTTTATGTTTTTAAGTTGAAGTAGAGTTTATGACCAATGATGTGAATGTTATATGTTATATTGTGTTTTTTTAACTGTGTTCCGCTGCTAAGTTATATCAAGTGATTTTGGATGTCGTGTAAACATCCCAGGTAAATATCGTATGAGTTTGGATGTCGAATAAACATCCTAGGTGAAATAAAATTACATGATTAGCAAGTGTTTTTTTGGGTATGTGTGACATCCTATGTGATAAGTTGAAAAATCTCTTATTTATTTATGAATTATGCGTTGGGGTAAATAGGGTGTAACATTAGGCTTCTGCACCCTACTGAAGGTAATTTCCATAGCCACTAATTTAAAAGCATTTTCTTACACTTGCTACTAATATTTTTTCTTATACATTTTCAGGAATGGATCGTATCCCACTTTCACCACATACACGAGTTTGGTCGTGTGCTAGAGTATACCGAGGATTGACCATGTGTTTACCTATATTATTTGCGTAGACGGAATGATGTTGTGCAGAAGTTCCGTGTGTATATTGACCGAAATCAACATGATGGCATTGATTGGACACCATACACCACTCACCGAGGCATTATTGCCTTAGGCCCCGTTTCATTTTACTTTGGATGGCGGACATGTGGGACGAATATGATGTGTAAGTATCTGCCGGAGTGATGTACGCGTTAGTTTGGATATGTGTATAACATTCCAAGATCCTCATTCAAGTCTTCTCCTAATAGCATCGTCCGTAGACATCTTGATTGCATATTGGCATATTACGAGAGTCATATGGTACAAGAGGAGTATCAGAGTATGTCAGCCACAAGTCAGTGGTATTATGTGGACGGTTACATGACTTGGCTCTATAGTGTGTCACACTTTGTCATGACATCATACATTTCTGGACATCCACCTAGGCTTGCTCATGAGGAGATCTTGGAGAATGACTATGCCAGGGGAGACCATGACATTGATGTGTTGTCGATCTGTCAAAATATTATGTGGATAATGTATGAGGGCATAAAGTCTGGGTTGTTTGAGAGAGGTGGCGATGATGTGGTTGCCTTGACATGTTCCATTCTTATCAAGGCACATAATGCCTTTGATTATCGGCGGTAGAGGAGGAGTCAGGGGATTAGGATTAGGAATACGTAGTAGCTTATGCTTTTAGTTGTATTTTGGAATGTCTTAGTATTATTTTCCATACTTTGATAATAATATTTGCAGTATTATTTTCCATACTTAGGATAGTGTATCTGCCCAAGATGCATAACAAATTCACCCCATAAATATTCACAGATGCATCTCCGGACCAATTTTTATCAAAAATAGAATGACTGCTTGATTTACGTGCGTTTCCAAAAATACCTAAAAACAGTAATGAGTTTTTAGAGGTGTGAGGCACACCATAAGAGTGGAAAAAAATTTCGTAATAAAAAAATATTTTTAAAAAAAATAAAAACAAACGGGTCATACTCGAAACAATTACACCCACATCTTTTAGGGAATTTCTTAATGCACCATATGGGTTAATTACACACCAAGCGAAAATACCAAAATGCCCCCATATTCTGGAGATGCATCTGTGAACACACCAAATTCTGTTTGAATATTATAATATTTCGGAGATGCATTTGTGAACACACCAAATTTTGTTTGAACATTATAATATTTCGGAGATGCATTTCCATAACAATTTAAAACACATATCATGCATCACACTCAGAAGTCATTATACAAATTTATTGTATCTAAGATGCATCTCCGTTAATTTTACAGAGATACGTCTCTGTAACGCATAAAAATAGAATGTTTCATTTTATGTTTTGTTTACGGGTATTCAGGTGAAGATTTATAAGCATTATGTATCATGTTATGTGACAAGAGACTCAGCAGAAGCGTCAATGGCGGCAATGCAGACATGGAAACACAAAAAATATTGCATTGATCATTATTTTCAGCCAACTATCTTGTTTTACACTATGTCTAAACTATCATACATGTAATTTCTACTTATTTCTTACCTAACCATCAATTTCTACTCATTTAAAAAAAAAACTCTATTTAAAACATAAAAAATCTTAATTTTTCAAGTTGTTGATGATATTTTTGATGATGATTGAAGTTCCTTTGACCTTGATTGTTTGAATTTGGACTTAGTGATAAAAAAAATTTGAGAGTTTGAAGAAGTTTTGAAAAATATGAGAAATAGAGAAGGAGAAAGTTTGTGACACGATTTAAACTCCAAAATGTTTCGAAGATGCATCTTAAAAATAATTTTGAAGATGTATCTCCAAAATATTTTAACATTAATGCGTCCGAAGATACATCTTCAAAATCTAAAAATAAATATTTTTACATAGGGTTGATTAAAAAAAAATTCCTATGTAATCAAACTTTCTTTTGGGTTGATTAATAGATGGCGATTGAATCATTCATACTTCATTCTCCTCCCCATTATATTGTTTCTCCTTTTCATATTTATCTCCTCAATATTATTAGTAGGAGAACAAAGCTTTTACCGATTGCACAATCTTTTCAAAAAGTATGTGCAAGTCTGTCAAAAAAAGTGGGGCATACCTGAATTTGTGAGAAATAGTTTTGGGTTCCAGAGGCTCACATGTGTCAGGACAAACATGTCTTGGGTTCCAATGGCTCACATGTGTCAGAACAAACATAATGAGTTAACTCCTTACTAACTTATTCAACCTTCATTTGCAAGCATATTTATAATCAATTGCATTTGGATAACTTTACACAAGAATAGCTAATAATAAAACACAAAAAATACTAAGACCAAGAACTCCCATAGTCAGGTTTAGACTCTTTTTATTTCAAGTTCTTTATACATCCATCCACTTTCAAAGAAGGTGCAGTTAAGTTTAGGTGTATTCTGAAGTGCTTCTGTGTAGTTAAATGACATGTTAACTTAGAATTAGCAAAACATTGAAAATAGAAAGTATGCTTTCTAGAAGTCCAAGAGAAGAACTCCTTCAGCTGATAAGATAATGCACCTTCTACCTTCAGCAGCCTAACAAAATTGAGTCGGCATTTCGACTCAATGAATAGTATATTGGTGATGCAGAAGGCTCAAAAAGATAGAACTTAGATATGTACCACCTAAAAGCGCTTCTTTCCGATCACTGTGAATTGGAAAATGGGAAATATTATTGTGAAAATTTCATTTAGATGGTTATTAATATGAAACAATGCTTCTAAGACTGTACCGATTCATCTGGACTTTGACATGTGGGAGAGGGAACCACTATGGCTTGGCTTCTCGAAGAGACCACATGCTGACAGGACAGTGAATCAGGTACACCATTCCTCATGGCACGGTGAACATCTAGAGCGTTGGCAGCAGATACACCAGAAGTTCCCTTTCCCTTCTTGACCTTTGTTACCGTACTGAAGTTGATCTCTCCTGATCCGTATTCAGATATACCTGACTACAGAAAAACCAAAGATCGTATAAACAAGTCAAATGACGAGATATTATTGAATTGTTACATAATCCTGGAATATTTAGAAAGTTCATACGTTAGACAGGCCTTTGATCTGAACAATGATAATTGTTATATCGTCTGTTCGACCTTCATGTTCCAACCATAATTTATAAGACTCTCCAGCAATGGCAGCACATGCATCACGGGGATCTGAATAACTTGCGGCCTACACCGTAAAAGAAATCATATAATTTATCAAGAGAAGAAATTGAATCATAACATAGATAGGACTTCACCAAAAAATTTTAAATCAGTAACACAATAAGCCAGGTTCTAGCCATCATGTTTAGTTGCAACCACAGTGCTCAAAATTACAAATGTTAACATTGTGAAAGGTTGATTTTACACAAACAGTTCACAATAATTGGTCAAAAATATGTGTATACTAAGGCAACCAGCAGAACAAAACTAATGTTCCTCTCACCAAACAAAACAACTTTCAAGGTTGTGCAAACATTTAGGATGTATGCACAACTGCAGAGACTAATCCTTCGAGTCGGGGAAAACCACATGGGCGGCAAAGCTATGCCTAAAGAGGATTTAACACTGCTACGTGCCCGGGCCTGAATTCGAACCCAAGACCTCTGGTTAAGACGGAAAAGATCTCTTACCATCCCATCTAACTATGTCCATTTCATCTAAGTATGTGTAGATATGGAAGTGCATTTATTATTATTATTTCCAAATACATGCCTAAATAATAATACTAATGTATTTGGTAATTCCATAGTTGACACTTGACAATAATTTTTAATACTACTAATATATTTTCAAGGCTAAATTAGGAAAATCAATGCATAAAATGGACACATTAAATACAAGACCTATTTTTAGTACTAGTTTTTAATTTTAAAATGAAAAATTAACAGATAACATGCAATTTCATCAAATGTAGTAGATGGCAGTGATAATGACATATGTCCTACAAGAATTGCATTATTATTTAACCAATGAAACATTGCCTGCATAGTTAGTAATAAAGTTTATACCTTAAAAGAAAAACATAAAGAAATAAGTAAGAAACAGGTTGCAGGTCATAACTCATACCATATCAACAACAGTTTGGCTTGATAGGAACTCAAATACACCATCACTTGCAACAACAAAGAAAAGATGATTCGGCGTAAGCTGAACCGTTAACACCTCCGGAACTGCAATAACCCCAATAGTCTCACCCAAACTATCCCCTACACTCCTTGTAAAAGCAGCCCCCGGGATCATCCCATTCTGAACCCACAATCGCGGAGGATCATCGCCCTGACTCTCTTCATCGCCCCAAGTCTGAATATCCGGATCCTTGTGCCCTTCCACCTGATCAACACTCAAAACCCTAGCACCGCAAAGCTTCACTCTCTCATATTCATCTCTCCGGAACGGTGTCTGATCAGAAGACAAATCCTCAGCAACAATTCTATTCCCATCTTTAACGGCCAGCACCGCCCTCGAATCCCCAACATTCGCAACATAAAGTGTATCCCCTATAACCAGCACAGTAATCGCGGTAGTACCACTCATACAATCATCAATCTCATTCTTATGCAAGTCATCATTAGTATCCAAAAACGCCGAATTATAAGCCTTAACAGGATCCTCTAACAAAGCAGAATCATTTGACAGTTTTTCTACCAACCTATTCTTAACAAAATTAGAACACTGTCCACCAAATTCACCATGTCCATCAAAAACACCAAAGAAATGAACATTAGGGTTACCTTGCAATTGAGTCTTTACACAATAACAATCTTGATTCTCTTTATCAGGTGAGTCAGGGTAATAACCTCTCTGAGTAAAAACAGAATACTCCACAGTGAAGTTATGAGAAGGAACATCAACAAAATGAAGTGATCTCTGTGTAAGTACATGCTTCCTTTGTGGACCAAGCTCTCTATAATCCCTAGAGCCACCAATTGATGGTGCAGGGTAACTACTACAACACGTTCCATGAACACAACCCATGTTTGAAATAGAATCTAAACTTCTGAAAAACACAAACTGAATCTCAAAAAATGCAATTCTGGGCTAAAATCATAAGCTTACAAGGTTCTAAAAAACAACATTGTACTTCAAAATCAGATTTTGAAGAACATGAATGAACAATCAAACCCTAGAAACAAAATCAGCAAAGATAGGATTTTGAGATTGGAATTGTGATTACAGAATGATAAAAACAAAAGAGTAGTGAACAAAAATAGAGAATGACTTGAAAAAAGCCACAAAAACTAAAAAGGGGTGAAATGAAATGAAAAAAGTGATAACCCTAGAGACAGAGGAAAATGAAGAGATTGTGTTGGTTTTAGCAATGAGGACGTGTGAAGTGGGGTAATGTGAAAAGGAAAGGAAGGATTGTAAGTTTGTTTTGGAGTGCAGAAGGTGAAAAAAGAGGGAGGGAATCGAAGGAAAGGTGAGGTAAGAAGCAAGAGTCCAAGAGAAAAATTCAGAGATTGAAAGAGAATGAGAGTAAAAGATAAAGATAGAGAGAGACAGAGTCACAGGTAAAATACATCATTTGATTATAGAGATTCTATTCTATGAGTGCATGTTTGGTTTTGTGTGTGTGAGTGTTAAAAAGCTCATATTCCAATGATTCATCACACTTCAACTTGGTTCTTTTGTTTTGTGAGTGAAAACTCTTCACTAAATATTGTGAAGCAGACACACCAAAGATGATATCGACACTGATACAATAAACGTGATAATAATTTAAAAAATTAATTAATTAATTATAATTATAAAGGTCGGTGCAGATATCAAATACTCAGACATAAATATTAACACGATTATTTTTAAGCGATTTGTAATGGTATTCAAATTTTAAATTTTAACTATGAAATGGGTAATTATTTGATTAGTTAGTGTTTAATAAAAGTGAAACTGATGGTTTGAAATTACTGTGTTTTTATTATATCTATTTGAATTATTTGAAAAAACTGATTTTTAAAAATTGTGGAAAGGAATAAAAGATAACGTTAATACAGTAATTGTTAATAATTAGACTTTAATTTATGTTCTCTTAAAAATTCGGTCTTAAAGTGAAATTCACAGAATTTTAAAATTTGAAAAAGGGAAGTTACTCCATTTTTAAATAAGTATTATTTAAGGGTCTATTTGGTTGAGAGTAAATAGAGGGGAGGAAAGGGAAAAAAATATTTAATAATTTATATCTTTGGTTCAAATTTTAAGAGGTGGAGGAGAGATAGGAAGAGGGGACCAAAATTTCTCCTAATGCACTTTTTGTTTTCTCCCAATTTGGAGAGAAAGAGAAGTGTTTGATTTTAATTATAATTATATCTAGATATTTAACCTTATTATTTATTTGACTATAAATTTAACTTATAACAATATTAAAAGTTTTATTTTGAACAAATTTAATTTTTTATTTTATATTTGTTGTATTTTTATATCTTCATTTTATTATTATTATATTTATTTAAATTTTTTATTTTATTTTTATATTTTAATATTAATTTTAGTTATCGTAATGTTTTTGTCAATTATATATTTTAATTGTTACGTTTTTATAAAATATTTCATAATGATCTCTAACTGAATATTTATATTGCGTCAATAAATTTGTATTTGAATTATAAACCGTAAATATCACAAGTCTTATAGTAAAAGCATAACGATAAAAAAGTAAATTAGTTTTAAAATATTTTCCTTCCCATTATAAATCAAACATATTTGTAAATAAAATACTTCTCCTCTCCTTTTATATTTTGAATCAAACATATATATATATATATATATATATATATATATATATATATATATATATATATATATATATATATATATATAAATATAAATATATATATATATATATATATATATATATATATATATATATATATATATATAAAATTAAAATCTCTTTCCTATCTTTCTCTTCCCCTCCCTTCAATTGAATCAAACAGACTCTAAGATTTTGACAAATAAGTTAAAAATACAATAAAATTATTAAAATAAATACAGTTCTAATTTGTATCTCTTCTAGACAAACAGTTAGAATTCTAAAAGGAATAAGGGTCACTTTGGATGGACTTATCTAAAGTTATTTACTATAAATTTTGTGACACTGTTTAATTGATTTCTCTTTCTTTTCTTTCTTTTCATGTTGCTCAAGACTGATGAGCTCTTTCTCATGTTCTTCAAGCTTACCAAACAATGTTGCGGTGTCTAATGTCATGAGATTGTTAGCTTCCTTGATCTCCGTGACCTTAGGTTGTCATTCCTTATTAAGACATCTCAAACTTTTGTTAGTAGCAACATCATTGGAAACAGATCTACCAAGTGAATTTAAACGATTAATTAGGTGAATGAATCTCTTTTGCATTTCCGCAATGGTTTCACCATGCTTCATGTGAAAGAGATCAAACTCTTGAGTTAAAGTATAGATTCTAGTTGAAGGTGAGAAAATACTTAGAAGGGGGGGTTGAATAAGGATTTAGAAAATATTATGGCAATAAAAACATAATGATTTTTATCCTGGTTCGTTGAACTCAACTAATCCAGTCCACCCTATCAAGAGTGATTTGCCTTTCTCCACAAGGACTTAATCCACTATAATCAAACTGATTACAATATCAAACACTAAGAACAACTGTTCTTAGTCTTCTCAAGAACTACTGACCACAACTTGATCTTCTCAAGGAACTTTTACAATTAATTGTAAACTAAACAAGTGTTTGAATGCTTCTAAGTAAGCTATATCACAACTGTGATTTACACTTAAGTTTAAGAGCTTATGAAAACTATTTAGCAAAGAATAATAATTTGTATGAGAGCTTTGAGAGAGTTTTCAAATGAATTTGTTCAAAATTCGTCAACGTTCGTCAACTAAAGAAAGTTGTTGAAGGATTGCTTTTATAGACTTAGAAATCCAAGACGTTGCATGCTTGAAGACCGTGTACTGCAAAGTAGCTGTAACCTTTTGTCTTCACATCACTTGACCTTTCCTAGAAGTAGAACGTTTAGAGAAATCCTTTTTGCCTGAGTTCTTGTGTCTAGCATAAAAGAGGAAAGAGTAGTTTGGCATAACCAACGGATATAACTTTGAATAATCTTTTTCAACAAGTTTCTAATTCACAGCAATTAACATCAGAGCCTTGAGTGATCAGAGTCTTGATGTCTTCAGAGTTTGTTGTATCAGAGTGTTACAGCAAGTATGCTTCAGTGTGTAATTAATCAGAGCAGAGTTTAGAGATCAGATCCTCAGTACATGCAGCGTACAGTACTATCAGAGTCTTCTGAAAAAGAATGCTTAAAACTCTTCATACAAAGTCTTCAGTCTACGCTTCAGATGCTTCTGTAGCTTCTGCTTCAGATCCTTCTGTAGGCAGCGCTCAGAGTCTTTTGTAGGCAACGCTCAGAGTCTTCTAAGAGATGCTTCTGACGCTTCAGAGCCTTGCGTAGTTCAACGTTCAGATCCATTTTTGCTTTCAGAAGAATATTAACTTTAATATCTGCAGCAAAAATACTTGAACAAATTTAGAGTATATAATTTCTTAATACAAAATTTCATTAGTGTTATCATCAAAACATGGAGATATAACTAAGAACCAATCTGTGTTCTAACAATCTCCCCCTTTTTGATGATGACAAAAACATAAGAAATTTTGTTCAATAAAAGGTAAATTATAACTCCCTCTGAGATTATGAATCTCCCCCTGAATTGGATACTAAGAAAGAATAGAAACTTCCCTTTTTGCATGAGTATTCTTTTCAGAATTAGAGCCTGAAAGTTCAAAATTAGAACTTGATTTGGATGATCATTTCAGAATCAGAGCCTGATTGATTAAAACTTGATATGGGGATCTCAGAGTTACTTTAATGAATTTTGTCAGATTTATCATTAAGTTCTGAAAGACTAGAAAACTCATGTTAGTTAAGATTTGATATGTCTGAATTCCATTCAGGTAAAGTTTATTTGAACAGTCAGAATTTCATTTTCTCCCCTTTTTTGTCATAATCAAAAAGAAAAACTTTTGAAGACAAATAAAAGGAAACAGAGAGAAAAAAAAATACAGTCAGATAGAGAAAATATTCAGTTTCATTCATTCATTCAAATAGTTAGATAGAACAGACAAAAAAACATCAGATGATAAATTTAAAAACAAGTGCTCAAACATCAGATAAAGAAAACATAAATCTAGGATTGTTTGAAGAGAATCATCTTCAGAAGGTGGGTGATCTCAGAAGAAGATTCTTCTTGCTTGGACATCCACTTCTCAATATTCTCAGTCTTCTGATCTTGCCTAGCCATCCAGGACTTGATCTCAGATTGCCCAGCTTCCAACACATCAATCTTATCTTCTAATTCTGGGTTCTCTTTCTTGATCTCAGAAGAAGTAGACGGAGCAGATTCTGATGCAGGAGTAGGAGCAGAGTCAATTTCCATTGGAGTTGCAGAGTCTGGAGGCGCAGATGCAGATGATTTGTCCACAATCATCAGAGCCAAAGGATTCTCTTCCAAAATGACTTCAGAAACAGAGTCTTCAACAGACTCAAAAGTAGCAGACACTCCAGAGGATGAAGGTGCATTCTCAAGAAGCAATGTAGGAGATCTGGTTACATTCCAAAGCATTTTTATGGTAAGCTCAGTGAATCTGATCTTCGCATTATAAGAGCAAATACTCTTTAGATTTGAAGCAACAGTATTGAATCTGGCAATAAACTTATTCCAGCATTCTTTAGAAGCTTCTGGATTGATGCTTGAGAAACATTGTTCTTCCACAGAGTTTAGACTAATTCTGATTTCCTTTTTGAAACTAGCAAACAAAGTATTAACATCTAATCTGGATTTAGGTTTTATGTAGGTTTCCAAATTTGGTGGTTGAGGTTGGTCAGATGAGGATGGTATGGTGAAAGTTGGAATGATGATTAGAGGACGAGGATAAGAAGGAAAAAAGGGTTGTTCAGAAGGTAAAGTGAAATTTTTGAATCTGGATGAGGATGAA